CAATCAGTAATAACTCACCGAAATGACTCACCAAAGCGCAAGTTTGCTTATAACAACTAATACATTACCATTCGAAACTCACGTGAAACAACAAGCACAGAAACAAAACTTTGCCCAACTTCTTTCGAACAGATATATATGTGTTTTTTGTCAATGTTCAAGAAAATCCATTCAGTAAATCGTAAAAACCACCCAAATTCCGTTTGTTCCCCATTATTGGGTTCAGGTACATAATTTCCGCAAATTTGGACGTTAAATATTTATTTTTAACATGCCTGGTGTGTTTATGATAGTTTTTCATGTATATCTGTGGATCTAATCCTGAGAAATCCCTAAAATTCCTTGCTTCCCTGTGGATAATTTAAATTTGAAAAGTTCCAAAATCTGAGTTTACATTACTGTTTTCAATAGTTCCTTAAATTTTAAAGCTAATTTTCAAGTAAATTGTTTCAGTCAACCCCGAGAGCCTCCAAAAAACATTTGACTCCTCCTTTTTTGGCCCCCTCATCACTTATTTTTTTAAGAATTGTTTTATTGTTTGTATTTTATGTTAGGTGAATTATAGTTTCAGATACAGTGTGTTGTGACCCACAAATGTCTGTAGACGTTAGGTGAATGGGAGTTTTAGATGCTGTGTTATGACCTCACAATTGGCTGTAGACGGTGGGCGAATGATAGTTTTAAATGATATGTGTTGTGAACCCCACAAGTGGTTGTAGACGGTGGGTGAATGATAGTTTTAGGTGCTGTATGTTGAAACCCAGAAATGGCTGTAGACGGTGAGTGAATGATAGTTTTAGGTGCTGTATGTTGAAACCCAGAAATGGCTGTAGACGGTGAGTGAATGGTAGTTTTAGATGCAGTGTGTTGTGACTCACAAACGTCTTTAGACTTTAGGTGAATGGTAGTTTTAGGTGCTGTGTGTTGAGAACCCCACAAGTGGTTGTAGACGGTGGGTGAATGATAGTTTTAAATGCTGTGTGTTGAGAACCCCACAAGTGGTTGTAGACGGTGGGCGAATGATAGTTTTAAATGCTGTGTGTTGAGAACCCCACAAGTGGTTGTAGACGGTGGGTGAATGATAGTTTTAAATGCTTATTTTATGCACCCCACCAGTCGTTGTAGACGGTGGGCGAATGATAGTTTTAGAAGCTGGATGTTGTAGTTATAAACGTAAATATATGGAATATTTTATTTATTGGATTATCTTTGTTACGAGAACACTTATCCGTGTTGTAAGCAGTGATTTATGTGTTTAATACTTATCAGGGGCGGGGGTTACTTAAAGTTTAGCGTGATAAGCTGCGGATCGTATGTTCCAAGTTTCGAGACGTGATGCTGCTGAACACGCCTCATTTTCAGTCGTGGGGACTTTATATGAACGTAGCAGTCAATCCTGTTACTTAGTACTACTGTGTGGCTGTCTTCCTGTTGATCATTAACTCCGAATTAGGTGCGGCTACGCCTGAATCCCAGTGTAACGTAGTAACTTGATTTCTGGAAGTAGTCACACATACAAGAGACGGTCTAGTTATTATGTTCGTTGTAACGTAGTAAATTAATTGTTGGGATTAGCTACAGATGCAAAAAATACATTGCAATGTAACAAGTTGATTGTTCGATCAATCGTATTAATGGCTATATGTGACGATAAGAAAATATTGAAATTAACTTTCATGGACAAGTTTTCCATTGCTTTTATCTTCAAAGATCATTTAGCAATAGCATAAAATGTAACATATACTAAAACGAGCTTTTAATAGTTTAACTTTTCAGATATAATAGCCAACTCTTTTCAGTTAGATTCACTTATAGGATTAGTAACCTAGATATACAGTTTTTGCTAATACCTCTTTTATACAAAATAGAAACGATAAATATTTTAAAATGTAATTCCTCGTGTCTCGAAGACCGCTTTGTGTTTCATGTTAAGTTCTTTTGGAAAACATAAAATCTAATACGTGCAGATATTAGTGGGTTAATAGGGGTAATGTAGAATATGTTCTAATTCTGTATATCGTTTTGTGCTGTAAATTTCGAACAACTTTCTTTCGATAATGTGGTATATAATCTTTGAGCTCTATAGCTAAGTGTTAATTTTGAAATCTTATGCTTCACCAAATTCAGAACGCTTACTGATCAAGGCTAAAATTCTTGTAGCACAAGGTATCCACCATCTGCTTTTGCTGATCGACGGCAACTTGTGTCCGTTCGCGGGAGGAAACTCGCGGATCGTGATGAACTGAAGAAGCCTCTTGACAAGATAGCGGAATCGTTCAGCGTCTAACCTGTAATGGAACTCTAGTTGTATATCTTTATAATCAAAAACTATCTCTTAAAAGTAATTTTTTCCAATTATTTCGTAAACTACTTGACTACGGCAGCAAACAAAGCTGTTAGCGTGTACAGATACACATTTAGGAACTGAAGTGCAATAGGTAATTAAGTTATGTTTTCAAACTAGATAAAACAACCACACGGAATAATGTTCCACCTTGTGCAGGTATTTAGTATAGACTTAAATGTCATACGTAATATTTCTTCAATTCAGTTTACAATATCTAGTATTGTTGACTATATTATTTTTATTCAGTTTACAATATCTAGTATTGTTGACTATATTATTTTTATTCAGTTTACAATAAAAAATAATATAATCAACAATACTAGATATTGTAAACTGAATAAAAATAATATAGTCAATAATACTAGATATTGTAAACTGAATAAAAATAATATAGTCAATAATTCTAGATATTGTAAACTGAATAAAAATAATATAGTCAACAATACTAGATATTGTAAACTAAATAAAAATAATATAGTCAACAATACTAGATATTGTAAACTGAATAAAGATAATATAGTCAACAATACTAGATATCGTAAACTGAATAAAAATAATATAGTCAATAATACTAGACATTGTAAACTGAGTAAAGATAATATAGTCAACAATACTAGGTATTATAAACTGAATAAAAATAATATAGTCAATAATACTACATATTGTAAACTGAATAAAAATAATATAGTTAATAATACTACATATTGTAAAATGGGTAAAAAATACTTCAGGTGATAATGTTACACATAATAAGCTATCAGTAAAAGAACGATATTATTCACTATTTACTTAACTAACGCGTAATAACATACGGCATTGCAACATTATTCAACATTTACTTAATTAACATGTATTAACATAAAACATTAGAACATTGTCCAAGGGTTAATAAAGTACAACGTTAGAACGTTACATAGTGTTAACTAACTACCGTTTATTAATAAAGTACAACGTCAGAAAATTATTCAGTGTTTACTAACTACCGTTTATTAATAAAGTACAACGTCAGAAAATTATTCAGTGTTTACTAGTCCCCAGTGGCACAGCTGCGGACTTACAACGCTAGAAACCGGGTTTCGGTATCCGTGGTGGGCAAAGCACAGATAGCCCATGATATAGCTTTGTGCTTAACTTCAAACAACAACAGTGTTTATTAACTAACATTAAATAAGATACAACATTAGAACATTATTTATCCTATAAGTATATATATACAAACACACATAACACGGAAAAATTGCATATAAGATAAAAAAAAATAGACTAGACACAAAATAAGAAATCCGATAACTTCAAATAATAGCAATCTTGTTTTAAGAGCAGAGCTATTATAGCCGGTCTTTGTGTTCATCGGGTACAACTTGATGAAGATCTTAACACAATCCCCAAATGTTATCCATCGCTATAAAATTCATGCAAGCATAATCAGTAAAAGAATCAACTTGAATATTTGGATGTTCTTCTCAATTGTTAAACTTTTCATTGAGAAAAGTGGACTTAAAAACGAAGACAGAAATATTTTATTTTGCCCCGAAGAAAATTATACTTAAAAGGCTGTAAAAATCTAAAGGTTAAAATTGGCTGGAAACTTATGCATAGCTATCATCAACTTCATATTTAGGAGTGTGAAGTAGGAGAAATACCTACTTTGTGAACCATCGAATCAAAAGCTGATGATCTGCGCTTGTTAGACCTATTATCCGTTTCAACAGGTGCGCCAATACATTGTAGGACGATTGGCTGGCGAAGATGGGATTCTAGGAAAAACAATAAAGAAGCTTGGGTTAAAGATATCAATAATCAAATAGAACATTAGAACACTATCCACTGTTTACCTGACTAAAGTGTAGTAACAAACATGAAGCCTTTGAAGAGAGCATTGAGGAGGAAAAACAATAAAGAAGCTTGGGTTAAAGATATCAATAATCAAATAGAACATTAGAACACTATCCACTGTTTACCTGACTAAAGTGTAGCAACAAACATGAAGCCTTTGAAAAGAGCATTGAGGAGGAAAAACAATAAAGAAGCTTGGGTTAAAGATATAAATAATCAAATAGAACATTAGAACACTATCCACTGTTTACCTGACTAAAGTGTAGTAACAAACATGAAGCCTTTGAAGAGAGCATTGAGGAGGAAAAACAATAAAGAAGCTTGGGTTAAAGATATAAATAATCAAATAGAACATTAGAACACTATCCACTGTTTACCTGACTAAAGTGTAGTAACAGACATGAAGCCTTTGAAGAGAGCATTGAGGAGGAAAACATTAACAAACTGGAAAGTTGATGTATCTGTGTTATTATAAGAAATTGATATATTTGTTATTGATTGCTTATATCAGCGCGGTCCAACTGTCGACTCGCCTATCCGGTCTCACGAGTTAGTTCATCCGGTTCATCTATATTTAGTACGTGTTCAATGTCAAGTTTGTACATTCAAAAATTCATTATCAAATATATCTCAATATAATAAGTCATTTAGATAATCAATTATTGCCCTCCAATGTTTCCATCCCCTACAGTCTTCTTTAGCTAAAACGTTTGACTACCCTGGCTTTTATTAAACTAACTTTTTATTACAATTCATGCTTCACACGTTGAAATATGCACTAAGAAATTTTCTCTAACAGGACGAAAGGAAGATAACCAATGAAAAGTTCTGAACGCCCTCTTCAGTTCGTGATATAATTTTTATTTGGTGGAAACAGAACAGTACTTCCAAAGTCAAAATGTCGATTGCTATCTTTTAAAACTCTACCTACTTGTTTTATTGTATTTTACTTAAAATTATACATCTATTTCATGTTTCAAGCATAAAGAGAATAACAAAATAAATCAATATAAATAAATAAGGCCAGGAATAAAATCTTTGTTGAGTAAACGACAAACACCGTGCAGATAATCCTTGTTAAATCACATATTATAAACATAATCACATCTTAAACAGAGAAAGTGACAACCTGTATTAAAATGTAAAACGCTCTGGTGTCATCTTTTGTCATCAACCTGAAAATAAGAAATATTCCAGTAAGAAATCTACCATTTATATAAAACTCTCCAAGAAGCTTAGATTATAATTGTACAAAAATATTCACTTATAAGCTTGGACATGTAACCAATTCACAAACTAAACTACTACATAAGCCTAATGGAAATATAAAATGCGAATAAAAGTTAAATTTAAATCTTATTCAGGTAATGACGTGAAAAAAGAACTAAACTGTGTTTTTCTAACAAAAGTTTTAAAAATCAGTTCTTACGTTACTAGGAGTTAGGTGCTATCTCACCTCTCATCCTTGTTGGTCAAAGCTGTGATCAATCCTTTAAGTACAGTTTTACTAACAAAAGACGGCTACAGGAATAGAGAAAAAAACAACGTTAGTAAGATTATTAAAGGTTGCAAAAATGTTTTTACTTATTGGTCTGGGGTGTTTTATATTGCAAATGTTAATTTTTGAATAGCACAGATTTTTTAGGGGCAGCTGAATTGATGCAAACTTTCAGGACACAGTTCAAAGAGTACAATGATATAGCTTTGTAAGCGTGACTTAAACCTTTGACTGTGTAGTCTAGAAGATACGAGGTATTTTCCTGAGTATAAAAAGTGAATAACCCAAACTAGCAACGATTTCGCTAGAAAGTTAAGTAAACTGTTCCCATTTATAAAGATATCGCACCTATAGACTTTAGAAGAACAGTTTTTCAAAAAAAATGTAATATTATTACAACAAAGGGCAATTCATTGGACATTCAATAACAATTCGGTAAATCCAAGAATTTTACCCTAACTGACACAATGAATCAACTTATAAAGAGAAGGACGCCATTATTGTTAGTGATGAGCTAACAATTGACGGATGAAGTTCATTGAACTTTCATGAGAACAAAGTGAAATAAAGATATGTTTGAAAATTTTATAAACAAACACATTAAAAAAATACTATTTTTCTTTGCAATTTCTATGAAAGTAGGCTTCAGTGAATTTTCAAAAGTTACTAATCTTGTAAATATTCACAAATCATCTCCAGTCTGCTCTGCAATTTTTTTGAAGCATATTAAGCTTCAAAAATTACTAATATTTCTTGTAGTATTCCAAAGACTTCTCCAGGTGGGCCTAGAATTTTTTCACCATGAAATCTGCAACGTTGTCACCAACAAATAAAAACCAAAATCTGTCCACAAAAACACCAAATATCGACCACACTGCCTTCAAAGAAGAAATTCTACCTGCAAATTTTTATAACTCTTCTACTTGTTCGCAAACACAAACTCAAAATATACAGCACTAAACTATAAACTAATTGGCTTACAGCAACAGAAAGGCTTTACTGACTAATAAATTTCGCTCGCTAAGTCTAGCCTAATTTGTTTCTTATATCTCGCTCAAACTGTACTACAGTGTTAGAGAATATTCCAGAAAGTAAGCTACGTTCTCATCATGTGACGTCAAGCATCCCTCTAGCTAAATAATAATGCCAACATTTACATTAACACACATTCTACAGCAAGATGCTTCAGAGAAGTTACAGAGCAGGCTTAACAGCTTTATGAAGTATACAAGAAAGATTATTGACGCTTGAAGTTTAATACGCTGATTCAGGAAAGTTGCGGAGTAGACTTAAAAGCTTTGGGAAGTCAAAAAGAAAGATTAGTTACGCTCAAAATGTAATACGCTTCAAAGAAAATGCAGAGCAGATTGGAGATTTTGGAAGTCTACAAGAATATTAGTAACGTTTGTGGTGTTTCCAGGTTCAAGAGTAGTGTCCGGTAAGAATAAGGTTCCATGGAAATGTTATTAGACAGTGTGAATCCATTTAATTTCTTGACTCCAACCGAGCCCACTGACAAAGAAAGGGTTTGTGCAAAATAAATCAACAACAATTTTTATTTACAAAAACAGGCGTTGTACGAGCACAGTACACTGAGACGAAACTAGGGTAGGTGTCTTTGTGGAGTGTGTTAAACAAGTGAGATAAGAATCATTAACGTTTCTCTCATAGTCTAGTGTGAACCCCCCTACCGTAAAGTAGATTAAAAGTTAAATCTAAAAGAAAAACAAACCTACTGTTGAAATAAGACATATGTTAAGTATAAGATTCTCTAAAAGAAAAGAGATAATTAAAGCACTCAAAAGTTCTAAGTGTTTCTGTGCTTGTTTGCATTTCGTGTAACACCACTCGAGGGCTGTCTGCACTAGCCATCCCTAATTTTAAAGTGACAGGCTAGAGGTAAGGCAGATAGTTAACATCACCCATCGCCAACTCGTGGGCTTTTTTTTATGAGCGAATAGTGGGATTGACCATCGTATTATAACGCCTCTACAGCTAAAAGGGCGGGCATAGTCAGTGGTACGTTTCAATCTCGTAACCCACAGAGTGCGAGTGAAACGCCCAAACAACCAGGCTATGCATGGTTTAAAAAGCTTTATCTGAATTCTGGTTAATAGAGTAGAGACTGGGTTAAAGTACTAAATACAATAAGAATAACAAAGCCAGGTTGCTCACACCATGCTCCTTCTACACGTGACCTAGATCCACATACGCTAAAGCATAGGTGCATGGAAACTCCAGGCTATTGCAGAAAAAAGGCTGTCTATCTAAGGACATCTCAGTGTGGTAACAGCCACCTTCAAGTAAAAGAACGCACACTCGAGGTTAATTAACGGATCCAGGTACCATGTGCAGCTACAGAAAAAGCCATGTTTTTTACTTGAGCGATTCTATGCATCCAAACTGAACTGAAATAATAAAAAAAATTGGAAAATTATATATTAATTAAGGGGGTATCTAACACTAACACGTGATAATATATAGTTCTTTCTCAACCTTTATTTCCAGGCTAACCCAGCGGGCCCTAATTGTAAAACTACAAACAAACCAAACACAAGAAATCGAAATCACTTACCCCTGTTCCAGCAAAAGAACTTGCCTAACAGTACTAAAATGTATCGACACAGAGGAAAACTTTATAAAAACAATAAAACAAAACACATCGCAGAAATAACCTAAGTCCTTCAGGAAGGAGTTATCTAACACACTGTGCAGTAAAAACAAAATCACACCAAATCCCTTCAACAAAGAAATATGTACACAACAAAATACCCTTTAAAAAAGATAACCTATCCCTTTTAGGGGGTAGTCAAATATAAATATTTATAAAACAAACAAAGAAAACAGACATGAAACAGATTAACCCTAAAAACAAGCATGAAAATAACCCTCACAACAAGATACATTCCTATAATAACGTACTGTAAGCAAAAAAATATTCTCATATATATAACACACAACAAATTAAAATACACACGCACGCACACACACACATATATATACTATACAAAACCAAAGAAAGTCCTTAAGACTAATTACACTACTAAATCATACATAGATATACCATACAATAATAAATTAAATTTGAAAATATACACATAAAATCTTAACTTACTATAATGCAAATTATAGGGAAGCCAGAAATACTTACCTATAACAGCCCAACAGTCCTCTACTGAAGCCATGGACTTTCAGCAGATCATAGTGGTTTAGTGGATAATCTCTCTGACTCTAGCAATAACCTTCTGAGTTTGAACAAGACCCTCTCAAAGGTAATGCACTTCTTCCTCCAGCTATTTGGTAGCTGTCCTTTGTAATTAAGAGGAAGATTACTTGTTGAATCACAGAGTGGCCAGGCTTCCGTCCAGCAGACTGCTTGCTCTTGTAAGTGACACTTTAAAATCGTGAACTGCTTCAACATGAACCATTTTCTTATCCTGGCAGAGCCTGGTGGTGAGCTTCTACTTCTCAGACCTTATCTCCATAGCTTGAAAGGAACTACTGAATTTCTTGTGCTGATGCTGGTGGTTGCAGTCTCAGTTGTTTCAGCAAAAACCAGTGTACTAGTGGTGGTTGTTGTGGTAGTTACCATACTTACTACTGAATGACTTTCCTATTTCATACATCTGCACTCTAATCGTAGCTCTGACTAGGCCCTGCCAAGTCAAGAGATTGTGGTGGTCCCACCAAAGATGAGCACCCATTGTATTCTAATGACTTTTCCACAAAGCAACTTTTGCGAGATTCTTTACCCCTTGAGGCAATGAATCTACTATCACCAAGGTGGGCTTGAAGGCTGGCTTGCTTAGTGTTGATGGTTCATCTAAACCCTTACTCCTCTGTTTTGCCATTGGGATAACTATTGATGAGATGGCAGGTGTTGACTTCTGATGTTACAGAGTTTGTAGGGTTAACCTATTGGTGGATTCTTCCAGAGTCTGTATGTCAGTAATTTAGTAATACATCTTTATCCATTGGCTCTTATAACTTAAACATAAGGCTGGCCCCTGGAGTGGTTCAAAATATCCGAAAAAATTAAATATAAGTCCTCATTACGAGATCTTTCCATTTTTGTAGTGCACGATACAGGTTCTTGGCAGCATCTGATAGAGTGTAGTCCACATCTGGTTAGTTGATAAAATAGCCAGACAGATTAAGAATTTGATTTTAAGTTGTAAGAGTCAGGATTGAAAATGTAAGTTCAAATTAACTCTGATTGGTCAGAAAAATTTGGTAAAGAATGTAGAAAAAAATACTCTGCCCTAAAAATGTGAAAAGTGCAAAAATAATCTTTGGTGGTCAAGCTCTGTGTTTACAAGCATATGTGTGCTCATGCTAAACCTGCTTATAGAACATGATCTATATTTTTGCAGATAGTTTGGTAAATGCAAGCATCATTGGGTTTTGAGTTTGACCCAGTTATGTAACTGTGCTCTCTGAGGTCATCATGGCCATAATGGCATTCCACAGCTACCCTGAAGACCCACCACATTCCCTCTGCTAATATCTGGTTGTTATACAAAAGAGAGCCTAGGTCCAGTAGGAGAGAAATGGGGAGGCATCCTCTGTTCTCGAGCTTAAGTCATATTTGTAGCTGTGCTATATAATCAAATAAAACATTTGATATACCATGTTTACATTTTCTAAAGAATTTGCCATTGTTTGTGAATTTTACTTTCTGTAGTTAATTTCTCTTTAGTCACTCAAATTGAAGTTCAAACAAACTGAAAAAAGGTCGAACTGTGTTTTCCTGCAAGAGTGGTATGAGCCTAACCATTAATCTTATTCCTTTCCACAAATGTTTCAATGTCAAAAGCGAAACTTTCTCTGATTGCATTAATGAAAATAACAGGCCCACTATTTCTTCAAATAATGCTTTACAGACCAGTTAATTTAATAATTTGATGTCTTGACATCGGTATTAAATTCTTATGGAGCTCTTAAATGTTGCCTTCTGGTTGTATTCTCATTAATGGATTCATTGTGTGCAACACAACAATCACGAGTGACTTTATACACAGTT